GCTATAACCATGGCCTGACTCTTGTTGGGGTTTACTGTCAGAATAAGTTCTGAATTTCTTGAGGCGAGCAGGTGTTAAAGGCGACGAAAATGAAGATACAGGAAGTAAGGCTACCTGAAGTTCACTGTAATTATAGAATTCTCAGAATTTCCATTTTTAAGAAACGATTCTATATTGCAATCATATGTCAAATTTTCTCGTATACGAAAAGTGCGAGTTGGATGAGGCAACAATTACTACTTCATTTGGGCATTGTAGACTTCACACTAGTTCTTGTTTTAAAACTTGGTTATATAATTAATTTATTTACATCTGTATCTCAGGATAATGGTTCATTCCGGATGAAAATTTTAAAAAAGAATTAAAATCTCTTTTCTTTCTTTCTATTTATGCTTCCTACTCTTACAGATTTTCACATTTTATTTTTCAACAATCAGAATTAAATAGTTTATAACTCTTCAGATGCACATTAATTTCAATATTGTTTTGTGCACATAATTTTGGGAAAAAATATTTAAGCTTCTTTGCTTAATTATTTTTTATTTCATAGGGAAATCTTATTCGATATGACTTGATATGATATGAAGCTACTGATAGTTGAAAGTTTCGCATCGCAGAGAAAAAAAGAGATACATTATAACGAATGACAGTTGTTGTGATATTTGACCTAAAATAAGACTCTCATCAATTGTAGGTCTTTCATATTGGGCATTGTAAATAGAGCTGCCATTATAACAAGCGTTGATTGTGTTAACATTTCTAGCACTTTCCAGATCAAAGAAATTATAAAGGGGCAGACAATAATCAGCTATTTGACAAAAACACTGAATGTTTTTCTGAAAAATGAAGAGACCCAATAGAAGCTTTTAATAATGATATAGGCCAAATAAGAATGTTACTTCTAAAAGTGAGTTATTTCTTAAAGATTCACATAAATTTTTTCTCTAAAATTTTGCTTAAATGTTCTGTCTGAAGTAGACATTTTTGTATATATTATTATTAGTTATGTTTTATGTACGAGTACATATAATCAGAAACGAGCCAAGGTTTTGCCAAGTATTGAATCTTTGCAAAGTTTGCATGTAAATGTATGAGTTTTTTTTTTTTTTTTTTTTTTTTTTTTTTTTTCCCCAGAAAAGGTGGAGAGGGTTGTGCAAATAATTTACACAAACCTCCCCTCTATGTAGAAGCCATTTTCATAATATTATGTAATTTATTTTATTGGAAGTATATGCACAGAATCAATATGTAGTAAAACAATCTTACACAGCCCTTTTCGAACATTCTGTGTTATAGTAAACAAATTAAAAAGTGTCGTGTTTCCAAATTCTGTAAGAAAGATCTTCAGTGAATTCAAAATACATATTTAGACTGCTTTCAGTACTGATAAGAGATCTATCTGATAGAGATACTCCAGTAACTGATAGAGAAATTTTGGCATATTTTTTTAAACAATTGGCTTTATTTCGGTTTTCTACTATGGAAATAAATATTCATTCGAGAATAAAAAATAAATGTTCATTCGAGAATCAAACTCGGATGTAACTAGGAATTTTCAGCAATTACTTATCATGCATCTAGGGGTACATAAAGTAAAGTGTTTGAGCAAAAATGCATAAAACATTTAATTTTAATTTGTAGTAATAAGTTTTCAGTACACATGAAATGATTCATAAACTTCTATGACTTTAATAAAATAAAACCAGAACTACGAAAAATTGACATCATTAGCGGAAGATTTTTATAAAAAAAAATCATATTAGTGATTTTATTTCGCTAAAAGGAAGCTTAATCAAACTAGTTACACGATAATTAATTTACAATTACAAGAATTAAATTGATGCCTAAAAACAGGTATAATAATTTTTTAGCATATTATTTTAATTTTATGTAACTATTTTGCATATTATTTTGTTATTATGATAATATAAATTATGTTATATTTCGTTACACTGGTTCACTATAAACGGACTATCCCATTTCAAATTGTTTCCATCAAATATTATCACCCTGTATTATTTTTTAAGTAATTTAAGAATGCATTCGCATGTATAAATGTGTGTTTTTCACATTTTGAAAAACAAACGGTACCTAATTAAATTAAGGTATTAATTTTTTAAAAACACAGGCCTTCACCCGAATATGTGCATCTGATAGCCCGAATTTTTAATTTCCAATTTGCCTTATTACTTATTTCATATTTTTAAGAATTTTTATGAACTTAACAACTTTAACAATATGAAAGCATGCAGTGGTAATACTGTTCGAAATAAAACAAGTTTATTCAGCTCATGAGACTGTTGCCAATCAAAAAATCAATCTTTCAATTTTAATTAACAAACTCGACTCAAAAAGCAATGTGTTGCCACTACCGGCAGTAATTTTTTTTTATCTTCCACTCGCCAGCGTGTTGCTCTTCAGTAAAGCCTAAAACATTTTCTTATTTAATCTGGAAGGTTACTGAATAATGAACTAAGTGATTTAAAACCAATAAGCGCTGTTCTTGAGAATATTTTTCTTACTTTTTAATGGGATTAGTTTAATAAACATGTTTTAAACTCATGACATGTTTAATTAATTCAACATTTTTTTAATTACATTAGCTGGACTCATTAAAATCATTATATACTTTTTCTCTTTTAAGATAACTATTAGGCAGCTGGCCCCATGAGAAGCTAGCTTTGAAAGAAATGATATAGCGAATATAAAAGTATGTATGACAAACTCAAACACTCTATCTGAAATTCTAAAGATATGCAGATTTTTAAATATATTGTGATTTTGCTGTTGAACTGTAGAAGTGAGATGAACGTGATGCTTAATTAATAAATTTAACACATAAAAAGTTAATAATGAAAAAATACATACACACACAAAAAAAAAAGTTAGCCATCTTATTGAGAAAAACTGAATATTGATATAATGAACTGGGAAAAAACTGAAATGAATATAAAAATGTACGCTAACACTTAACGCTGCATCGGGAGTTCTAAACATTTACTGTTATTCAGCTTTTAAAAATTTTGATGTTGAACTGTATGTGGCGTAAATGCGAAGAAAATGATGCTTAATAGCAAAGCTAAAAAAAAAAAGTTTGGTTAGCAGGAGTACAACAACAGACTAGTAGATTGCGTGCTCAGCGAGAGCATAATAAACCTTCTGGGCAGGCATTAAAATCTAAAACCTTTAATTTTTTTGGAGTATCTAAATTTGGGGGTGGGGGACTGAAGAAATTGTTTTGCATAGGGGCCCAGGAGTTCTAGTTACGCCACTGAATGGTATGCCGAAAAAGACGCACGTGGGAAAGGGTAACTTAATGACAGTAACAATCTCTGGTAAGCGAAACTTTGTCAAAAATAATTAGCTCTGCCTTCCTTTCATCATAATGCCTCCTCACACAAGCACAGCAAGATCCATAAATGCTGCTATATGTAGAACAGGATCAACAAATGAATGTTTACCTTCTCACTGACTAAAAGCCAGATTTAGACCTAATAAGGCCCTAGGCTATTTGAGATACGGGGTCCTTTCCCAGGGGCGTACTTATCTCTGAATGATAACGAGTGCATCACTTGTCATCTTATTTTCGAAGTTAATAAGTCTAATAATGTTTCTAAGTTAATAAGTGTTTTATAATATATTTTAATACTATTTATACTGTATTTTAATTTTTGGGGGCTATAGCTATAGCTTGTGTAGCTTATACGTAAATCCGACCCTGCACTGACTTGAAACACAACTTATTTGTTCATTTTTGTCATAAGCAATCCATCCATCATCAGTTACCATTTATTTAAATAAAGGGGTCCGTTTGTGCCATTTTAAAAGTCTATCACAGGTAGAAAATGATTACCACCAAACATTCGTGCCCTAAGAAATATTCAGTGCTGCTCCAATTTTTCTCGCTATTTACCTTAAATTCAATTTTATTATTCAATAAATTTGATAATCAGACTTCAAAAGTTCCTTTGCTCTTGAACTTCTGTATTCCAGCCTGACATTACCAGCTCTGAAATTGCGAAACTATCTTTAAACCGTTTACTCACCTTACAGGCATCTCCATAAATGCCATACATCTTGCCTGCATATCTATATATTTGTAATTTTTATAATGTAATATGGGTCAAAAATGAAACTTTTGATCATGTTTAACATCAGCAGAAAATGTAGTTTCGAAGGAATATTACTTATCGATGCAGTCCAAATTTTTACCTTCCAATGCCATCAGATTTTCATTGGTTGCCTAGACTTAAGCTGTGGTTCAATACAACGTACTGAAAGCATTTTGGGAATGCTGGGAGAAAATGTTAAAAACCTTCATTCAGACACCTCAATGAACCATTACCTAGACATATCACTGCTATTATTTGAGCAAATAAGGTAATGAATGTACTATTGAATAAGTATATATAATGATTAATCCTTTAAATGCATAAGACGAATTAACCTATATAAAGATCAACAGCTTAACACATATTACTTTGAGAAAAACGATCCAAAATAATATTTTTAATTGATAATAATTAAAATCTCAGTATTTCTTGCTTTAAAAGTGAAAATTTGAATATTTCTTATTTTAGCAGTTTTGGGAAGTTCATCAAGTTTCAAAACAGTATATGTTCTCTCATAGCTTTTCAACAAAAATTTTAAAGTCACTCAAGTCACATCTATAATAAGTGCTAAAGGATTTAAAATTTTCATGTGAATTACTCGCACAGGTCAAACTAATAACAAATAAATTTAATATAATTAAATGGCAAAGTGAAGCAATGGGAAAAGAATATGAAATTATATTACGAATTGGGAGGGAAGCAAGCTATCATAATTTATGTGCTACATTTATAAAAATTACCTTACTAATTTTATAAATAATTTAAATTAAGAATTAAATTTAATAAAGCTAAAAGAAATGATGCAAAATTTAATCTACATGAGATGAAATTCTGCTTTTAAAATACCTCTATATTTCATATTTCAACAAAAATTTCACATTAAAAAAATAACAATAAATTATAATATTTTATTACTCTATACAAAAACATTATCATGAATTATACATTTTATTTTTTGTGCATGGAAATACTCTCAGTTGCCAGAAAAACTAAGACTGGTGGCCATGCAGATGATGAATTTTAGCAGCTCTCGATTTCCTTTACCATAAGAAAACTGCTTCAAGAATGCTGCTAAAAAGCTCAAATCCAGTACATAACAGTTTTATAATATCACAGTAGTTTGACACCAGCAGTACCTATCTCTGAATGACGACGAATGCCTCACTCATCGTCTTGTTTTCTAAGTTCTTCACAGAAGACTATTCTCAAATCAAGCTCTTTCCTGTCCAAAAGCTGGACAGTACATTGATATACAATAAGAGTTAGTCATGATGTCTACTTTTCTTGTATGGCGCATGTCTGTCAGAGTATCTGTACCTAGAATAATACAAATTTTTTTCTTTGTATGAATTCCTATTATCAATTTCCTCTTTTCTGTCTCGCATATTAAATGGCAAAATAGGTTTTTTGAAAGGTCTTTCTTTACCACCAAAACGCAACTGACCAGACTCCTTTTTCCCACTTAAACCGCCACCTATCAAAAACAATAACTGCATTACTAAATATAATAATACAATAAAAAATACTTTTAAAAACATTTTCTCAAATAAAAATATTGGGTTATTTAAAAAAATAGTACCCAGTTTTAAACAGTTTTAAGTTTTTGCTCACTATTAAAAAGGGCCTCAAAAAAGGAATTACAGCTGAAATACAGTTACATCTATTTGACTGAATATAATTCTAGACTCCTAAGCAATTATTTTTAATACTGGGAGGAGAAGAATTTTTTAATAGAAGTATATCACTATCAGAGGAGAGAGTTCTGAAAATTAAAGCTAACTGTTTGCAAAGATTCATTTGAAAAAAAATTCCAATTAACAAAATATTTATATCTTAATTAATTTTTTAAAAGTTCTTTACGAAAAAATTCACAGAAACGAGATATGACAAAGATGTTTGTAAAAAGAGGACAGAATGCTTGTTTGCCTGAAACAAATGATTAAATTTTTGCTTAGTACCTGCTTCCTAAATTTGTTCTCAAAAGTGTTGAATTTAAATCAGTAACAAGAACTCGTATTGCTGAATATTTCTAACAGTGCTGTACATAAAGGAATAAGTATGGTATATAAAATCTGGAACTTTTGGTTTTTAAATAAAAGCATAATGAATACTCTATTAATATGTTCACTACCATTGTTTAGGTGCTCAGTGGAAGGAACGGACTACGTAATACATCTGGTGTATTGAAATGAATAATTTATTTCTTAAAACATAGATATAATAACTAAACGTTTAGAATGCAAAACTTTTTTGGGGAGAGGAGGTCTATTCATTTGGGAAATGTTATCAATATAGACTGCTCAAATTCTTATTCAGTGACTTTTGTAAGCCTAATAATAATCGAATAATATGGAAAATAACATATTGCATGTGCAGGAGTTTTTCATGAATGCACAGAATGAGTGAGTACTGTTTATCCAGTTACAAGTTATCCTGAAGTTGGCATAGAGGAAAACAATATTATTTCATATGTCAACTACAAGTACATTCATATGAATCTATTTGCTATTACATCTATATTTGAATAATAAAACAACAGAAAATAATTTAAAAGCATAAAAGTGCAAAAAGGATCTTTGAATGTGTGAACGGGCACACCATATCAGTTTACAAATTTCGAATTACCTACAGAGTAGAAACTCAGAATAACAAATTAGCAGTACACTAGTTATTCCGAATTTCAACTCTATAGGAAATTCAAAATTTCTTTTAAACTCTCTGTACTCGGACTATTTCTGTAAAATCCTGCAATTTTTTAAAGATATTTTGGAATTATACATGTCTAAAATTGACTTCTAACTAAATAAAGCCTTTAGCTATATTTCTCAAATATCCTACCTATAAAATGAAAGCCAGTGACTGTGTGCATAATTTTATTTCATTATTTTTTGTAAATTTTATAATTGTCTTTTCGGATTTCTAAAAAATGAATGAATGAACTATTTACCATTTTGCTGTAAAGCTTGCTTAAAATCTGTTTTGAAGAACAGATAATAAAGCACTACAGCAAAAAAAGTACTGTATTCAATGCAAAATACAAAGGAGTAAGAATTCAAAAACGTTTCAAAGATAGGTATTCTAAGAATTCCTGAAGCTGAAAATGTTTTTTAACCCCTTCTCGCTGACTGTCACGTCTACGTGCCAGCAACGAACACACTCACCTCCCGGCCGACACGCAGGCGTGCCAGAGCATTTTCCCGTTTACTACCGACTGTCACGTATTTATGCCAGTGTTTTAGAAACTATAATTTCTGCCACAAGATGACACTGTATGTCCATATGGTTTCAGATACATGTACATTAGACCTTCTACTCAAAATGAGAGAAGCATGACTCACATACATGTGTTTTTGATTATATAAACAAATGGGGACTAAATGTTCCGAATGGCGTGATTTATGACGTCTCTTTAAATCGCACTTTATTCGCACGTGGTAGTTGTTTATTGTAAGTAGAAGTTTTATATGCGCTAAAGCGTCGAGTATTTCGGTTTGCAGTTCAGTTTTTAGAAAATAATTAGATCTTGTTAGATGTGAATTCTTTCTGTTTTTACCGTTGCAATGTTGAAGCGTAGAAAATGTTTAACAGAGCATGAAATAGCAGAAATGATGTAAAATATTTCAGATAGTGATTCTGAAATTCTGATATTGATTTTGAAAGATTAACTGAAAGACATTTTCCAAAACTTTGTTCAGAAGAGACTGATAAGAAAATGAGAGGACGATGCTTCGTTTGTTCACATTCCCGGAAAAATCCTCCAAAACGGCAAATGAGTTATTACAAGTGCAAGGAATGTAACGTAGGACTGTGTGTAGATCCCTGTTTTCAAATATTTCATACGAAAAGAGAATTTTAAGTAATATATTTAATTTTCAGATGTATAATGTTAAAAGTCATAAAATGGTGAGTAATTAAAATAAAATGTGTAAAATATGCATTTAAACAAGAAATAAAGTAATTAAAGTATATATAAAAATATCTATAAAGCACAAGCCGTTTAAATACTCTATAGAGCATTATTAAACAATGCGTTGATACTTCGGAAATTTCATGGATTTAGGCTTAGTAGCAAAAAAGCCCCTGGCTCTGGAGAGACGCTCACGTAAGACACTGCCGGCCTCCGCGATAAGCGCGCGTTTTCGCTACCCGGCTCAAAGGGGTTAATATAAAATATATCACCTTAGTTTTGTGCTTGATGTTATTTTTAAAGGATTTATAAATCCTAAGCTAAATTTGTAATAACAAACAATGTACTCATTCTTTCTTTATAAAACAGAAAACATCCATTATTATATCTTTCATTTTTATCTCTTTGCTAATATGTTTTTACAGTGACTGGCTGTGAAATAAGATAGTCATATATCAACACAAGTTTCATGAGAGACAGCTCTCCTGCACATTTCACCTCCAAAAAAAAAAAACTTAAAATCATTAAAAACGAGATCAACATTTCAGAATCTCCAAATTTACTTTTAATGCCCCTTTGGATTCAATTGCTAGAATTCAATGGGTACTGATGGGTTGTCAGTCTCTCACTTTCAATCTATTTAACTGGCTTATTTTATGTAAATTTAGAACTCTTATTTCATTTTAAGATTTTATGACTTTATCTGTTCAGTATGTTTTGAAAGATTAAATAATTGTTCTTATAAGGAATTTGTCATGATATGAAAAAGTTATTAATTGAATATTAAAAGACTACATATAATCAAGACATGCTGTTTAAAAAAAATAAATAAATATTGCCTGAAGTAACAGCCAAAAGCAGAAAGTATAATTAATGAGAATTAGACATAAAATCATAGCTGCACACTTTTTTAATGAATGAGTAATATATATATCTTTATATATATATAAGCAGCTAAAGTGTGTGTCGCTGATATTTTATTGTTGCCACTCGGAAAAATGAGCGCGGAAATTAACGTTTCCTCATTTTTTAATTAATAGTCAGCCGATTAAAGTCGTACGAAGATGAGAAAGGTCTCGATGGATTCGGAGAATTTTTTAGAATCCGAGGCTACGCGTCTCGCATTTCAACTCGGCACCGTTTCGTAGGTATTCGAGAAAAAAGAATTTTGGCACGTAGCCAAATGCCTGTCTAATAGGGAAAACCCAAGAAAGAAAGTGGAAAATGTAGGGAAAATTAGTTTTTAATTAATATCCTGGCTAATTAAAGTTCCAAGAAGACAGGAATTGTCAAAATGGCGTGCCACGGACATGCGGAATCCAACGGAGTGCTTCGCTAAGCCCGGGAGCTGTTTCAGAGGAGATGAAGTTACTTCTCTCCATATATATATGCGGCTTAAGTGTCTGTTTGTCGCTGATAATTTATTGATTGCTTGCGTAACTGTACTAGCCAATGGGATGAAGTTGCCGTTTCAATTGAGGCGTAGACAGTTTCCTGTAAAACTTGGCTTTGCTATGACCATCCATAAGTCTCAGGGCCAAACGCTTAAGTGTTGGCATTTTTTTACCTGAGCCTGCATTTGGACACAGTCAACTTTATATTGCCTGTTCAAGAGTTCGTGAAAGAACGGACGTAAAATTAAAAACAATGGATGGTCCTCTGCAAGGCGAGCTTAAAAATGATGCAAAGATCTACACAAGAAATGTTGTGTACAAAGAGATCTGTGACATGTGAAATAACATTTCATTATTTAAATCACCTTTATTGACTGAGCTAGCGGTGGCTCTTAAGAAATGTACTGCCAGTGGTTTTCCCTTCATTGCCTTCTACTTTAAGCAATTAAGCAAGTAGAAGGGGGAAACCCCATGGGGCAGTAAGTAAAGGGGCATCCTCACCGCCTGCCCTGTGTAACTCAGTTTAAATTAGCTGACACAAATGCACAAATCATTTTAATTACAATTCATAATATCTAGAACAGCGGTCATTTCGTTTGACCACCAGGCTTTCTAGTATATATATATATATATACATATATCATAAAAACATACTATTTATTTTAGGTGTGTATAAAAATACTGTGAATATTAATGAATTCAACCACTATTGTAAAAGAGCTTTAAAAGATAGATAAATTATTCAAAATAATAGAACAGCTTCAAATAAATTTGAAAAACAGAGATTACTTAAAATTAACACCAAAGTAATTTTTATTTTAAAACACAAAAAACAGTGATTTTTTTTTATAATTTAAATAACGCATATTCTGAAAAAATTTTCATTAAAATATAGAAAAACATAAAATATTTGTGTTGAAAATTTTATCATCTCTGAATTATATACTGTCTCTAAATTCTGTATTGTCTCTAAATTAGGTACTGTTAAAAAGAATACAAATCATTTTTGTCCTTTATTTCAAGATATAAGTTATTTTAGCTCCTTTCCTTCCCCAAAGTTGGGTAAATACTTTATAGCAAACAAAAACATAACAATAAAGCTCTCTCACGTATTTATAAATATTTGAATGATTTATATCATTTTATAATACGAAGTATGTGTTTTGCTAAATTTTATATCCAGCTGTTTTAAATGAACCTATGCCAATAAAATTACATTTTGTTATAATTAATTCAGAATATCTTTAATTATAACAAAATCTGAAGTTATTTGTTCATAATTTTGCAGATATAAAAAATTCATTTTAATGGGTCACTTCAGAAAGCAAGATTTAAAATCAATTTTCATGGACAGATATGAAATCTTTTGCATGTGCATCTCATTATGATTTTGAGACAAACACTGGCAATTAATACAAGTTAGCCTAACTTATATAAAATAGATTTTACATGTGCTAAAATCTAGTAATATTACATAACCAAAATTCAACCATAATTAAAATAACCCAAATTTTACAGAAGGAAATATGAAACATTTTATTACCAAGACGTCTGGGTATCCAACCTGGCAACAGTCTCTCACATTCTGCATCCACAAGAATCTCCTTGTCATCAATCACAGTTTTGTCCAATTCCCTCTGTGCTTTAACAGCATCATACTTGTCATAATATTCAACAAAGGCATATCCTCGTGAAAAGCCTGTTATTATATCTCGAACAAGACGGAAGTTTTTTATTTTACCACAACATGAAAACACCTAAAAATATTTTCATCGCATAAGATATAGTACACAAAGTTAAAAATATAATTAATTCACTTATGCTATAACTTACAACTTAATTTTATGAATAAATTAAAATCTCTATGACAAATTTACAAGGATAACAAAATTAAAAAATAAATATATTACATTCATCAAAAAATAAATTTGCCTAATTATAAAAAAGACTTTTTAATGAATCATTTTAAGGTGAATTAATTAAAAAGATTTGTTTAAATTTAGAAGCATTTAAACAGGAAAATCATTTGAACAACCATAAAATATCTATTTTTCATACAAAATCCATATTCTAATGTTGCTAAAAATCATTTCAAATTAGTATTTATCTCAAAGCACTAAATAATTTATACAACCAAATGCCATTTCACAATTTCACATTTCATTCTCAAATATATGCTAAAAGAAAATGGAAATTTCCTCAGAAATACAATATTAAATCTTTCCCATAATCAAAAAATTTTGAAATAACTAATTTATTTTAAAAACAAATTGATTCCAACATTCATGAAAAGTTTAAAATTTCTGTGTGAAACCCAATAATGCCCATTTTAAGAAAGACATTTAAGACTATCAAACAGTTTCTTGACACTTTATTAATTCACCACATCTATTGAATTTTTCAGTATGTTATTATAATCTAAGACTTTGCATGGCAAAATTATATGTTTCTTCTAATTAGCTTAAGATTTTGCCATAACAAAGAATGCAGTTCATTTTTCATGTATGCTTTACACATATTAAAGATTAAGCATAAGAGAGGAAAGTTAAATTATATTGATGACTACTCTATTTTGAAACATTTGCTTCCCTTTTAAAATGAAACTAAAACAAAAATATTCAGTTGTTCTTCATATAACAATAAAATTTAATCCTATAATAGAATAAGATTCAGAAATTAATATTCAACAGGGTTCATACACATTTTTGCACACAGAAATTAAGTACTTTTAAGGACCATTAGTGAAAAATATTAAGGACCTATGAGCAAATGGGAACTGAGTAAATTCAATTCAAATTATTATCTATTCCTGAATTTCACTTTTGTAATACCACCCTAAAAATAAAATAGATCCATAAGTAGGATGCATTATTATAAAACATGACTTAATTAACATAATTATTAATAAGTATGAGAATAAAATAAACTTTATGAAATTTATCAAGTAGCATTAAATATTTTACACTCATAATAGTTGGATATATTTGAAAGGAGATAAGTGACATTTTGTTTACGTTTTACTAACAGTTAGCTTTATGTTGATTTCTTTTTATTTCTCATTTTGTCACATACTTGATCAGTCAAGAGGTTTAGTAAATAGCAGGCAGACTTTATATCAAGTGGCATAGGTTAAAACGAGAAGTAAGATGATAATCCACATGATTCATAACAAAAGACTGGATGTTGGCACCGCTGCTGCTTGCCTAGAGAGAAAGACTTACTGATTAGAACAAACCTGAAAGGCCTGATGTAGGCACTGTTGGCAAGTTTTGAAAGTTGGTCTCTGTCTGACACAGTTAGTGTTGTAGCTTCGTGTAGAGTTCCAGGGGTAATAACCTAGTTAATATAGTACTTTAAGGTTCCGATAAACGACTAAAGAACTAGAGGTGATAAGTTGTTTGCTATTATTTTAAGTCTCACTAGATGCAAAAGAATAAGTTTTACATGAATTTTTACATTTTTGTGTTTTATTTTGGGACCACAGCAGTGATAGCTAGGGTGGGGCAAGGGGGGACATCTGTCCCTGTGCGCAGCATCCAGGCGACGCCAAATTGATGTTACGAAATTTTTTAATGAAATGTTTTCCATTCTTGGCACACTGAAAGGGGCGCAAATTCTCCAATTGTGTCCGGGCACTGAATCTCTAGCATGACCACATAGATAATGAATCAATAACTCCTTTATATGCAAGAAATTTTCAGGGAAGCATTTAGTTATAAATATAATGTAGTAGGTAACTAGTCTTATGATTTATGTTATACGCATGTTGGTGGATAAACAAAACACATGAGTGTTTCGGTCGAGGTCAGCAATTTAAAAGGAACATTCGCATGTAGTTTTGAAATTAAAAAAAATTTAAGGTTAAGGATAAAGAGAATGAAAAAAGAAAAAGAAATCGAATTTTCTGATCCATTGCGAAAGGAAATTGAAATTAACCTTTTAATCGGAGAGATGATGTTATAGGAAAATTATTGACGGGAAATTCTATTGAATTACAGTCCGGGGTAACGGCTGTCGAAACGAAACTTGGGTGGACGGTATTTGGAAAACGAAATTCGGGTGAAAAGGATAATATTTTGAAAACATTTTCAATGCATGTCAGGAGAATTCCTCTGAATGAGTTATGGGAACTTGAAAAAATAGGAATATGCGCTCCAAACGAAACTGTTAAAATGAATGAAAGTTTTAATTTATCTGAATTTGAGAACAAAATGAAAATTCTTCCAGATGGAAGATATGAAGTAGAACTTCCGTGGAAATGTGATACGACACATTTAACCGATAATAAAGAATTATCCTGGAAAAGGTATCAAAAGATGATCTATAAACTCAGATGTAGTAAATTTTTCGATGATTATCAAAATGTGTTCAAGGAATGGGAAAGGTTGAATATTATTGAACGCGTACCAGAAAACGAACTGAATAATGAATGTCATTATTTGCCGCATAGGCCTGTAATCAAATTAGGAAGTGAAACCACGAAAATTCGTCCTGTTTTTGACGCTTCTGCATCTGAGAAAGGGAAACTCTCTTTGAACGAATGTTTGTGTAAAGGAATAAATCTTATTGAATTAATACCTGATATTATAGATCGTTTTAGAATGTATCCGATTGGTATTAGTGCCGATATTGAAAAGGCTTTTTTAATGTTATCCGTCGCATCTAAAGATAGAGATTTTCTCAGATTTTTTTTCCCATGCAATGAAGGCAATTAATTTATAGGCATTGCAGAGTTGTGTTTGGAGTTTCTTCGAGCCCCTACTTGTTGAACGCATCTATAATGCATCTATTAGAAAACTGTCCACGTCAATATAGTGAAGTTGCTCAAAAATTGAAATCGTCATTTTATGTGGATAATTGTTTATCTAGTGTTTTTAGTATTGATGAACAGTTTACGTTTATTGAACATTCCAAATTAATCATGTCAAATGGATGTTTTAACTTGCGCGGTTTTGAAAGCAATGTGGCTGGTACAAATGTTGACAAACATTCAGGGGATACTTCCGTTTTGGGGGTAATTTGGAATTTGGATAATGATACGCTGAGGTGCTGCACAAATACAGATACAAAAATCAACAACCTGTGATACAAAAATCACAAAGAGTTGGCAATTGTGCAGACAATTTTTGATCCTATTGGTTTATTAACGCCAACTACATTGCTTCCAAAACTGTTGTTGCAAAAATTGTGGAAAGTGAAAATTGCATGGGATGATGAATTGTCTCCGAATGATGTAAATATATTTTTGAACTGGTTTAAAGAACTTAATGTTTTGAAAGATGTTACTTTGCCTCGATACTTGTTTATCAATGACACGTCTGAACTACATGTATTTGTGGATGCTTGCAAGGGGGCGTATGCAGCGTGCGTCTTTGTTCGATCAATATTTAATTCTGAAGTAAAAATAAATCTCGTACGGGCGAAGTCTAGAGTATCGCCTTTGAAATCTTTAAGCATTCCTCGCTTAGAATTAATGGCCTGTTGTATAGGTTCTAGACTTGCAAATTCTATTATCAAGGCTCTCAGTTTGCCCGATTTAAAAGTTACCTTCTGGTCTGATTCAACCACTGCCCTTTGGTGGATAACAGAGCAAGGAAATTGGTCCGTTTTCGTCGAAAATAGGGTTAAAGAGATTCGAGAGTTGACGCGAGGTCATTCATGGAGACATGTCCCAGGGAAACTAAATATTGCCGACTTGTTACCACGCGGATGTTTTGCGAAGCAAGTGCTTCGGTCTAGATGTTGGGAAGGCCCCCTTGTAGTTGCGAGAAGGCCCTGAAAACCGGCCCACTGGTGAGATTATTTGTTTGCATGAAGAAGTAGAATTGGAGAGGAAAAAGATAAAAATAGTGAAGATGCACTCCCTTGCATTCAATCAGTATATCCAATTATGATAAAATGATTAGAATATTTGCATGGATATTTAGATTTGTAAATAATTGTAAACATCCCCCCCTTGATGCATGATGATCAATTATGAATATGATATAATTTGAAATGCATATTGTAGATTTTGCAAATATTTTATAATTGTAAGAATTGAATTAGTAATTGAATTGTAATCTCGAAAAATTGAATGAAAAGCTTGAATTGAATGTCTAGAATTTGAACTAAATGTTTAAATTGAAATTGAAAATTCAATTCAAGAAAAATTTAATTCGTTTGGTTCAAATGTTATTATTCTGAATATGATTTAAATATCTGAATATTTTTATTAACGAAATATTATATGTATTTTGATTGAATGCTATTATTCTGATGATAAGAGATAACGAGTAAATTACGAGAAGTACTAAACGAGATGACCTGATGAATCTGAATCTTTTTTATCCAATATCCAACTTTTACTGTTAACCAGAAAATGTGATTTCACTAAGTTATTAATCAGAAATGTGCATAATAAGAACTGTCATGCTGGTCTTCAGATGATGCAATGTATATTACGAGAAAGATTTTGGATAGTCAGAGCTAGAAAGGCCATTAAAAATGTCCTCTTTAACTGTATCGTTTGTAAAAGATTTAAAACTAAGGCTATGTCAAGCGAACCGACACCTCTGCCACCAGACCGAGTTACGGATTGTGCGCCATTTGAAATCATAGGGATTGATTTGGCCGGACCGCTGTTTTTAAAAAATGGAGGAAAGGTGTGGATCGCGCTGTTCACCTGCGCTGTGTACCGTGCCATTCACCTTGAACTCGTAAATTCTCTTTCTACTGATGCGTTTCTCCTGGCGCTTCGACGATTTGTTGCTAGGCGCGGACGCCCTAGAATAATCTATAGTGATAACGGGACAAATTTTCGGGGTGCATCTAATGATTTATCAAAACTAAATTGGGACTAAAGTATTAAAGGAAACGGGAACTGAAAGGATAATCTGGAAATTTATTCCACCTACTGCAGCTTGGTGGGGTGGCTGGTGGGAGAGGTTGGTTCGTACAGTAAAAGAATTGCTAAAACGTACTTTAGGTAAATCAGTGTTATCATATGAAGAACTTTATACTATTATTTGTGATTGTGAAACTATAATTAATTCTAGACCCTTAACTTATGTTTCTGAAGATCCGCAAGAATTAGTACCTCTGACACCCGCCATGTTTCTTATCGAGAACAGAAATTCCAATGTTGAAGATCTTGATGAATTAAATTCGTCAAGTCTTAATAAGAGATTAAAGTATAGAACTAAATTGTTAAATGATCTGAGACAACGATTTAGAAAAGAATACCTTAGTCAACTGGTTCAAAAGCATAATGAAAAACGATCTCGGGAACCTGTAGTAGGAGAAATAGTACTGATGGGGGATGATAACAGAAAACGTTTATTTTGGCCTTTAGCCCGAATTACAGAATTGATCCCTGGACGTGATGGAAAGATTCGTACGGTTAAACTTAAGACCCGGCATGGAATAGTTATACGACCAATACAACGCATCTTTCCTCTGGAGATACAGTCCAATGATAGAAACATAATTCCTGATAAGAAACTGGGTGCAGAGGAATCTAATTCTAGTGCTGGGTGTACGTTAAAAAAGAGGGTATTGCACCTGATAAAATGGTGATGCAACAATATTCCTCCTCTGGACGACTTGTAAAAGCTCCAAAAAGACTTGATCTTTTAAATAATGTTTGTTATGAGTTTGAGACTCAACCTGAGTCTCAAGGGGGGGGAGGATGTTGTGAAATGAACTGAAGTAATAACCGGCGCGAGGCGCTGCTGTTGTGTGACGTCAGCCTGCGTGCTGTGCTGAGTGTTTCGAATGTTTTGCGTGTGGACGAACGAAAGCTGATCTCGGAAGAGTGATACTGTTTTGATGGAAATAAAGAATGATTTATTAAGAATTTTTTTGTCTTTATTCATAATGCACCCAGCCTCGGGTAGAGGCAGGCCCGCAACTGAACGAACTGTTTTGAATATATTTGATTTATATATTTTCTGTGTTCTTTGCAACAACTCTTATTTAAAAAGAACTTAGAACATAAAAGGCATGTTCTGATGCTAACAATCATTAAGCATGTGATATAACAAGAAATAAATAAATAAATTGATAGTGGTCAAGACGACGTTTAATTTTAATTTAAACTGGCTCAGTAACTCTATCATATGAGGAAACAGAAATGGGAAATTATAGTAAAGGCTGAAATTATAAGCAACTAGGTAATTTACATGATAATAACTGTACATATCTTTGAAGAAGAATTTTCTTTATGTATTTAGTTTCTTTCTTCAACACATTTCCTTTTCATTTTAGAAATTTTGGATTTAATTAAGGATTTCTGTTATTCTAAAAAACACTAAACACATTGAGAATGTACAGAAAAAGCTGATAATTTTATTTCTTTAGTAATATGAACATTCAGAAGAAATATAAAGTCAAAAGTCTTTAATCTGGACTCGTTGGGACTTCGGCAATTCCGGATTATCGGTTTTTCCGGATTATAGATCATCAGTTTAAATCTGGTAAGATGGCATGCAGAAATTATAAAATTAAAAATATGAAACCATAATTTATAAAATAAAGAGCAATCATGATCTAAAGGGTATCAAAATTTACCAAAAAAAAAAGCTTTATATTTATTTGTTTACTTTATTAAACATTTCTTTCAACACATGCATGCGTAAAGCATACATTACGCATAGTCGAAATTAGAAAATTGCAACCAGAAAACTATTTGATGCGTATTCGTGATATTTATAATGACGAGGAATTTGATTTAAATCATACCAAAGACAGAGTACATCGAGATGAAATACTACATTTAGTAAGGAATTATAAGCCGAATAAAATAAAAACATCTGCCCTAAAGATAAGGATAGTGATGACAGATGTGGCGCGCAATGAACTGCCAGTTCATTGTGCGCCGCGACAAATTAAGGTCTTTTAAGGACCAAAAATTGATTCAAAAAAACCTAAGGACTCTTAAGGACCATACGAAAGGTTAATTAATAAAATATAGATAAAAACATTCTATAACCAGGTAGAAAATGTTGCAAATGATTCCATATTTCTCAGGAATACCATCAATGCTTAAAACAAAGTACTTCAAAAGTTTAAAACAATGGTGTTATTATTTAAGATCAGAAGTATTATTTTACTGGAACAAGTACCATTTTATTCTTCTAAGATTTCCTAGACTTTTTCTTGATAATTCAAATGCACATTTTGAAATTTCAAATAAAAATTCCATATTATTATTCTCACGTAATAAGTATTTTCTATGCACAAGAATTTCAAATAAGGAGTGCAGTCATTCTAGGAAAGCAACTCTTTCCAGTTTTGATTAAAATAAAAATGCAATATTTATTGTATTTACTTTCTTTCCTCTCATATGTATTTTCCCCTAGCTTTAATACAAGATTCTGAAATTTTTTTAAATATTGCTTGTTTAAAAAGCGATCTCCTCTACCTCTTAAAGTGAATTTGTTCACATAGTGATTGTTTTCCTCCTGTTTTGCTCATGGATATTCAGCCAGGGTCTCTTACTGGTGTAAGCTATAATAGTGAAGAGCTTAAAGAAATGGAGATATCTAATGCTCTTGATGGTTCCGAAGATCATTGCGTAAAGGAATTTATTCAAAAGATCATTGCATGAGGGAATTTATTCCGATGATCATTATGTAAGGGAATTTATTCCGAAGATCATTGCATGAGGAAAAATATTTACTCTATTCCTTGAAAATTTTAGAACTTAAAAAGCATTCTATGATGAAAAGTTTGAGAAACACTGCCATAGACAATTCATGCCAGCTACATTTTGCCCTAGAATTGGGGGGGGGAACGCAGAGGCGCGCAATGAATTGGAAGTTGATCTGTCAGCCCTATCCTCACTATCCTTATCTTTAGGGCAGATGTTTTTATTTAATTTGGCTTATAATTCCTTACTAAATGTAGTATTTCATCTCGATGTACTTCGTCTTTTATGTGATTTAAATCAAATTCCTCGTCATTATAATTTGCTTCCGATAGTGAAGAAAGTGACACAGAGGTTATTGAAAACGAAAAAATTTCGATTGATAAATTAGTCGGTATTCTCGACACAGCAATTATAGGACTTGAACAGCGGAACTTTGTAACTGAAGAAGAAATTATGTCTGTTTATAGAATTAAAGAGAAAGTATTATCACATAAAATGAAGCAACTTAAACAACTTACATTGAAAGAAATGTTTAATAAAGTAAACAAATAAATATTAAGCTCTTTTTTTTTTATAAATTTTGATACCCTTTAGATCATAATTGTTCTTTATTTCATAAATTATGGTTTCATATTTTTAATTTTATAATTTCTGCATGCCATCTTACCAGATTTAAACTGATGATCTATAATCCGGAAAAATCGATAATTCGGAATCGCCGAAGTCTCGACGAGTCCGGATTAACAACTTTTGACTGTATAAAGAATTTTCATGCTTCATTCTTATATAGATTCAAAGTAATCATGACTGTTTGGGCAAGCATATAAATGCTTGAACTTGTCAACAGTAATTCTAGTTTTTGTTTTCATCACTCCTGCTGGTTACACTCACCATACTGGAGCAGGAGATTTTAAAGATTGGGCAACGAATAGGTTTTTGATTACAAAGATAGCATTCCATCTCAGGTTTATTTTAGGCTTAAAAACAAGTTTGAAAGATGTCTCTCTCTCATGTTGAAAAATGAATTGGCACATGTGATTAAAATGAAGTTTATAACAAGATAAAATAAACTAGGTTGACACATTGGAATACTTAAATAAAATTAAAGAAGCTTTTGCTGATGTTTAGTCAGCTGCAGCAGAACAGAAGCATTGTCTGTAAAAGAATCCCACTCTAAAGTGTATGATTGGTGCAAGTCTTTCAAAGAAAGCAGGGTGAGAAATAAAAATGGATATTAAGTTTAACAAACAGGATTGACACTGTGCAAGACTGTGTTCATACACAGTGCCAAAAGACTTTTTTCTGCTGGAATTATAAAACTTTCTGGGTGCTGTAAGAAATGTATTATAATGGCATATGACTACATATAAAAGTAATGTATTAAGTTATTTCAATATATTCAATAAATAAAGTTTAGTGGATAAATTCTTATTTACATCTGAATGTTCCTCCTGTAAATCTTTAAGACTGACAACAGCTGTTAAAAATTTAGTGCTTTAAGAATTTTGTCTTTAATATCAATACCTTTTTAATACTGTTTTCTTCTGTACAAGGATTCAATCGACCAACAAATACTGTGGCTTTTGGATCTCCAACAACAAGCTTATTTGGTTTGTATTCAGCCTAAAATTTATGAAAAAAAGATAATAAAATTTAATTTTATGAAAATAATATATTAACTTGCTTAAATAAAGAGATAAAAAATGTAATATTAAAAGACATCTTGAGATTAGAAGCAATGAAAGCCACTAAATAAAATCATCAACAAATGAACTGTTATATTTTCAGTGTTATAAAAATGTATTCCTTAATACAGCATTAAATTTAATTGCTTAAAAACTGTTTTATTTAGACTTCTCAACAATATTGTAACAAGTATTGCTCATTCCAAGAATGTTGTAAATAAAATAAGTTTCAAATTGTGAATACATGTAGATAACAGAACGTGAATAATGCTCTGCTTAAACTCACTATCACCTGGCATCCAAAACAAAATCTAATAGATGATGATATTTTGTATTTGCATACAGACAATAAGCATCTATTCATATTTAATTTTTTTATTTTATTGAAAAGATAATATAAATTTTTAATATTTCAAGATTTTTCTGTATATACCATTTTGTGATAATAAAACAAAAATTTATAAAATAAGCTTTTATCATTCATGATATAAAATTCTAAATGCGATTAGTAAAATTGTAATACAATTATTTAATCTCTTGATTATTATTGTACATTTATTATTTATTTAATCATTTTATCTTTAAATCTTTCTTTTAAATTCAAAATTGCTTTTAAAAAACTATATAAATAAACTGAAAATAACTTACTTGCATTGCTCGCACAATTCCATGGTCATGAGGAATTGTATCTGTGCCATCGATACTGCCTGCTTTCAGTGGGTCATAACTTCTAGCAATAGGCTCCCACTTGTATGTAGACATGGCTCAACTGAAAAATACATAGAGTTATAATTTTTATATTAATACTACCAATTATTAATGAGAAAACATTGACTAAAATCAACAGTTTTTACATAAACTGATCAAATTGTGCTGTAAAAATTAAAGCAAGAGTATTATATATACTGCAAATAAAGTTAAAAAATGTTGCTCTCAATTTTGTGGATTTTTAAACTATGACTGTTATATAAAAATCAGCAATATACCAGTTCAAATCTATTTTAAATTCTAAGTTCGTTATGGCAATTCACATTTAATCAGATTATTCGTTAGAGCAAACACTTATTTCTATTTTCAGTCACATGAATGTAAGAATGTACTCATTTTCCTTTCAAACTTGCCAGACAAATAAACAGTCAATTGCTCTTCTATGTCTAAAATTTTATTTTTCATATTTTCTTAAATTCTAAAATTTATTTTTCATATTTTCTTATCAGTTTTCTTAGTCATTCAAAAACACCTTACCAGCAAGGAAACAACTACATCAGAGCTTACATTGTGGCAGAGCTCACCAGAGCCTAGCTCTGGTACTTCTCAATTTATGAGAAAAATCATAATTCTAGCCAAAGCGCATCACAGCCCCAAATAAAAGGGATCTGGCACTTCTTTCATATAAGTGAATCACAATTTAAGGTGATAAATTTTATTTTAATAATAAATAAGCCTTAACAATTGATTCTAACATCTGAATGCATGCCTGTCTTTCACTGGGGAGCAAACTTTGAAAGAGATTGAGACTTTAAGGAGAAAAAAATTCTGAATGCATGCCTGTCTTTCACTGGGGAACAAACTTTGAAAGAGATTGAGACTTTAAGGAGAAAAAAATTCCCATTCACATGCTCAAAGGCTTGTTCTGTAAGTTATTTTATGACAGCAAGTAAATTTTTCATTCCTGAAAGTACTAAAAGTGATCACCTTTGTCATGCACATCCAACGCTAGTGAATTCTTGACTTTTGTTTTCAAAGCTAAACTTCTCCATTAAAATTTTCTTCCATATTCTCATGCTGTTTCTAGAATACTCTTTATTCTGATTAGTGATTTATTTATTTAATCAACTTTTTTCATAGGTGTCCTGGAAAAAGAATGCTTTTTGTTTCTATCCTCCCTTGAAATAGCCCATTATACCATACATTCAGAGCTTAACTTCAGCCAGAAGCTGCCTAAGCTATTTCTTAGTTTTTGAGTGAAATTTTAATTCGGGTCAGAGCCCCTAAAAAGCAGAGGTCAGATATTTTTATTTTTTTTATTTAAATATTTATCATTAATTTAATAATTTATTAAATTTTTATTAACCTCTTTACATTTTACTGAATTTTAATTTTAATTTTAATTTAATTATTAGTTATTTTATTTATTTACATTTCTTATACTCTTTTCTCATAGCTTTCCATAGGGCACCAGTACTTCTAATTTAAAAAATTAAGCCCTGAACTACATACCAAAAAAGTGCTTCTTTACAAATTTCTTTTCAGTAGAGGACCTCAAACAAAATATCTCAAAAAACTGTATTACATTAATATACCTTTTGTCCAGATTTCTAATATAAAATACATTTTTACCAGTTTTTATACAATATACCTAATATATATAATTTCTGATATCCACAACTCAACAAAAAGTCACCAACTCATTGGCAACTTCATAAATTAGCAAAAAACATACATTGTTCTAGCTTTGCAGTTACCAAGTATTGCTCTGTTCATAAATAATAACAAAAAAAAAAGCATCTTAAAGGGAACAAAAAATTTTATAAGCATGAAAAAAATTAAAATTCTACAAAGCTGATTAACTCTGAGCAGTGAAATGAAGATTAAGTATACAGCGTGTAAATCAAAGCGTACTTCAACACATAAGTGGTACATGCAAGTTTTTTTTTGGGGGGGAGGGATTGGCAACTTTCATGTTTATACTCAAAAATACACCAAAAACATGGCAACTTTACCAAATATTAGAACCACAGATGCAAATAATCAGAAAGTATCAATAATTTTTTACAGACCTACAAGGAGCTTGTGTACGTGAGATAAAGTTTCGGCTAATCTTTGGAATATGGTAGTTTGGCGACATTTTGGTAAGGCGATAAATGTTACTAGCTAGGACTTTAGCAATAATCTGAGAAGTACACAGTTCCAGTCACAGATTATTTTGTGGTGACTTTTATAATGGATAATTTAGAAGGAAAAGAAAATTAATGTAATTTCGGTACAACTCTAATATACGCCCTAATTTCACCAAATGTGGCGATATGTGTTCTGCGCTGGTTTTTGGCGCGATTGCGTGTTCCATGGCAACCCTGTTAATGTTGAAAAATCTTTCGCTGGAGCTTGTTGATTCGCCTCTGTGTCTGAGAAGATGGGAGGGAAAGATAAAATGGTAGAAGGTGTTGAATTGAAGTTCGGCAAAAGGAAATATTCATTGTGGCCTATCCTGTTGCCACAATGATAGGGGTAGTGGGTATTTGGAAGTGTGGAAAGAAGAGTCTGGGAGATTATTTTTAATGGCTAGTGCATGACAGAAGTAGGGATTTGTGATTTTTATTTATTTGTGAACCATAGTATGAATTTTCTGATAGTGTGTCTGGCTGTCATGTAAATACGATAGTGAAGACGTGGCGGCATGTTAAAGGCGGTATGAAATTGATATTTCTGCTATTCGAAAACGCGTTAATTCATGGTAAGTGCATTTTATTTTATCCTTGTTCTTATTTTGTAGAATGTTATGTTCAATGGTTCTTTAGTATGAATTTCTGTCGTTATTGTTTTTTAAATTGTTTGAAATTTATTTTAGTTTATTTTGTTGCTTAGTGTCTAGACAGTGCAATTCGTAGATGTTTTTCAAAGTTGAAATAGAACGTACATGGTATTATTTGACATTTATTGTTGTTATGTTATTTTATTAAAGCGAGGAGTGCGTAGATCGTAGATTCCTTCCTTGCCTAAATTGTGCAATTCGTAGATTTTTTTTAAAGTTTAAACAGGATGCTGTGTACATGGTCTTCTTTGAAATTTATTGTTGTTATGTTAATTTATCAAAGCGAGGTGTGTGTAGTTTGTAGATTCGTTCATTGCCTATATGTGCCATTCGTAGATGTTAAGTTAAAACATGTCACTGTGTACATGGATTCTTATCAAATATTTTTGGTGAGAAACTTACGTTTTTGCTATCTAAATTTTTGGTTTTTGTTTCGGATTTTTAGCTAAATTGTGTGTTCAAAACGTAGTTTTTGCATGTGCGAAAACCGCGTTTTTGGAAACATTTTAGGCTAAAAGTTCGAAATGTAAACAAAAAATTTAGATAGTAATATGGCAGCGTGAAGGCGAGAAATTTGGCGTCTTGAGGGCGCATATCAGAGTAGTTCCGTAATTTCTTGCATATTTTATTTATTTTATACGTGCAAATGTTCATCTTTGGAAAGGGTATATGCAAGCTGAAGGTATAAAAGCTTGCATAGTATACATACTTTTTTGCGATCAGGTAATTTCATACACGTCCTTTTTACCGACTTCAAAGATTCACAAAATTTTCCTGCAAATTTTTCTACTTTGTGAGAAAAATTATTTACATGTTTCGTATATAAATTTGCCCTGTAAAAACAAATTTCTGTGCATGTTTGTTCCACTACTCTCCGGACATTTCCAATCGTGATTTTAGCTAACAAGCACTTAGAAACAATTTCGCACCTAATCTTCGTCATGATTAAGCACTTTTCTTCCATAAAAGTTCTAGCATAAACATAATTCGGATAGCAGATTGTTGAAAAAAATGTTGAGTAAAAACAAAAAATGCTTTTACTTCGTGAAAACGAAATGGCGTCCCCCCCCCAAAAAAAGAACTAGCAGGTTACTGTAGCAGGGTTGGTCGCCAAATTTTCGCCGAGTTACCATAATCCGAAGATTCACCAAAGTTTTAGATGTTCCTAATATAGTCATTAAATTCTCAAAAATAGTCTAAGAAAAATCTGATGTATACTATTCTCAAATTTTTAACTGTAGGTTTGTAATAAATATACAAGTTATAAAAACATATTACTTATAATTTTCATTGTAGAGCAATATTACAGCAATATAAAAATTCCATTTGGAAAAAAAATTAACAGAGAATATCAATCTTAATATAAATAATCTTTTTATGTTTGAATCTGGTTCTGAAATGAACTACTTTAGGAGCAACACAGGAGTTTTAAGATTAGGATAATCTAGCTCATCTTCCTCAAACATGATTAATTCTTAACTGGTCCAAGTTAACTTTGCTTTAGCCTCCTGATGTTTTTTTAAATAAAAATAGATTGATGTGTACATGGACACATTTAAAGCAGTGCACAATGCCTAGTTTGTGCAATTCTAGGATTTTTTTTTAAGTGAAAACAGATCGATGTGTACATGGACAGTATATATTTTATAGGGAGTTTATGCAATTCTTTGACTTTTTATTTTGGCTTTGCATAGCGGCCGTCTTGAAATCGTGTCTTCCTGGCGCCGATCTTGGCGTCAAAAAAGAATCACCAAAAAACAAGGGGCACCCAATTGTAAACTTTTACCCCGAATAGTACTGTAGTTTATTCAGATTATATATATATATATATATATTTGTTGGCTGCTCCTTTGACTTTTTAAGTGAATATAGTTCGCTGTGTACATGGACAAAGTCAATGGAGTGCGCAAAGCCTAGTTTGTGAAATTCTCGGATTTTTTTTAAACGAAAATAGGTTGATGTGTACACGGATAAAGTCAAGAGAGTGCGCAATGCCATTTTGTGCAATTCTGGGATGTTTTTTTAAGTGAAAATAGGTCGATGTGTACATGGATACAGAGTTTGTGCATTCTTTCTCTTGTTATTTTGGCAGCGATTTTTGCTACGCAAGCCAAAATAACAAGTCAAAGAATTGTACAAACTCGGTATCCATGTACCGCCAAGAGCCGGTTATCCGAAAACTGCCACTTTTACCCTAGTAGATTGTCTCATTTGGCGATTGAAGAATAATTCCGTTT